TGACGCGTCTCCATTTACATTTATGCACTTCCGTCAACACGTCAGTAAGTCGTTTTTTAAAATGTCGATTTAAAAAGTAGAGATTTCAGCTGTAAAATGCTTTTTGAAAAATCTCTTTACAATCATTTTTCACGAAGTTACGGTTCTTGAATTTTGCCTAACGGGAAAACAAATCTTTTTTGTGCAAATTTCTTTCATTCTACCGTAAAACGAACATTCTTAAAAAGATATGTTTTTTAATCATTACGCTATAATTTTTCATTGAGTTAAAATTAATGACAATTTTTAAGTGAATATTACATTTTCATGGTGAAAAAAAATCGTACAACGTTCAACAAAAATGCAAATTAAAGGTAAGGATTCACTCTTTCGAAAGCTGTAAACTGCATTTGCATGCGACTTTTAATTCGCGCCATGGAATTTGTCAAAGTTCGTAAAAAATTTTGAGATTCGTCGGGTCTTCTTATCTATCCGTGTAATTCCATGAAAGATCAGTAGGATCGTTTTCTAAAGTATCGATTTGGAAAGTAGAGATTTCAAGCTGTAAAATGCTTTTTTGATCATCTCGATACGATCATTTTTGACGAAGTTAGACTCTCTTGAATTTTGCCTATTTTTGGAGGGTAGAGTAAGTGATGCTTTAATTTTGTTGAGAAGTGTATATTCCCGCAAAAATATTATTGGCCATTGTTTTCACCGAATATACTTGTTTCTACTTATTGTTAATTGTAAATTCTTTTATTGAAATAATAAAAAAATATATAATATATAAAAAAAAGAAATACTGTATAAAAAAACATAAATAAAATTAAGAAAAGCTAATCAAGAAATATTATATCTTTACGTCTTTATGTGCGGTACTTTAAACGATTGTGTAAATAGAACAATAGCTCGAACAAAAACGTGCTAGTGTTTGAAAAGTCACTAACATTTGTTTTTCGATTTTCTTGTGAGTTAGTTGTCAATTCATGTAATTTATAAACTGTTGTTTCATATTATTTTTAATTTTTAGGTAGGAAAGAAAATAAATTTTTGTTTCTATATCTTAAACATTCTTTGAAAAGTTTACTCCACTCTCTCTCTCTCTCTCTCTCTCTCTCTGTGCAAGTATAGTATTAAATACAATGTGACAAAAAGACAATTATCATTAAGCGACAAGATTGTCACATTCTAATGAGCTCTAAAGCTATTGGTTGAAGACAATTCGATAGCAGTTAACGAATTGTTAGCAGAGGAAGGGTGAATAGGAACGGTTAGCGGTTAACGCGAGGGGTTGACAGGCGAACGTATAATACATTGTTACCCCATTCAGCATTACACCCCTTCTATGACCAGTAATTTTCCCTACAAAACCGACATTTGGGTGAACTACCTCATAATTAAAATTACTCTACTATCTATTCAACCTAAATGCATTGAATTTCTGAATCATTTATTTATTTATTTTTTTATTGTATAACAATTAGTACAATAAAAGCCAAAGCAGGTGTTAATATGTAATGTTTATTAATGCAAATTGACCTAAATATCGCATATGTCTAAATATATTAACGCATTAATAACTATCCGCGTTAGCTCTTAGTATCATTACTCCTTTTTTCGATTTGATTTACTTACAGACCTTTTATACTTATATTAATTATTTGATAACAAATTGTCTTTTAATTTAATTAAATAAAACAATTTTTAAATAAAATGATAATGTTTATAACTTGTGGACACAATTTTTTATTAATAATATAAGAAACAAATATTGCAATTAAATAATGCTAATTATTACTAATAATTAATAATAATAATACTAATAATTATAGTAATAACATTGATCAATATTGCTTTCTTTTTCAAAATATCAATTTTAATTATAAATGCATAAATTTTCAAAATAATACTTGAAATTCATTATTATATCAATATTTCTTTTAATCGTTGTTTTAATGTAACACTAAAATTTTAATAATTTAAGAATTTTGAGATAATGGTAGTTTTTTGGCTTTTGTATAAATAAAATCGAGGGTCAAAGGAGCATGGAAGCCGTAGTTAGTTATACGTGCTTAATATTTATAAATTATTTATTTTATTTGTCGAAAAAAAACGAATGTTTCGACTCTGATCGGGTCATCTTCAGCGCAATACAATTAAAATATGGTCCGCGTTATAATATAAACTGTCGTTCGTATTAAATTTTTTCCTTCTTACAAAATAAATTTTCGGTCACATTTCTATGTAACGTTTGAAATGAAGAAAGAATTGAACTTCCTAGTTTTTTCAGTGTACTACCAGCGTCAATCACAAAATTTTGAGATATTTTGATGTTTATTAAATAATAAAATTTTGAAATATTTTAGTTATTTGTTCAATTAATAATAATAAAACAAAAATTATCAAATTTATTAAATTAATGCAAAATAAGAATAACTTTTTATTTTCTAACAAAATATACAGGGTGGATATGAAGTAATGTAAAAGATTTTAAATGACACTACTCACACAAATTCAAGGTGAAACGTCATGGATTGTATGTTCGAAATTTTTATGTTCGTAATTTCAATGATACAGCTTAAAGTTGAAAAAAAAATTGAACTTTCTTCTAAACATTTCGAAAACTACTTTAATTATTTTAATAAAATATTGTGTATGTTTCAAATTTCATCAAAATAATTCGAGATTTTTAAAATTTTTGAAAAAAATTTTTCTTTCGACGGTTGAAAATTTATGTCATAAAAAAGCTTGTAACAAATTAATTTATTTTTAATAAAAAGTTTTCAATATTAAAATATAACTTGCGTGCAAATTAGTGCTAACAATAAATAAAATATATAACACAAAATATCTTAAATATTTTGACAATTGCTTCTCTTAAGCAAATTTTTGTGTTTATTTTTGTAATGCACATATTTTATTATGATTTAGTGAATTAATTGCTTATTAAGTTCATCTATAGAGCGACTTACAATTAGATAATCTCTTCACAAAACTTCAGTCTTTTCTAAATTGATTTTCAAATTCCTTTTATGATCCAATTATTTATCTCTGACACCCGTTCGAAATAAAGTTGCACTCATGAAGACACTTGTAAAGATATTGGGAACGAAATTGTTCAATAATATAGCGAAACGAATGTATACTCAACAAGAAGCCTATGAGTAGTACTAGTAGTAGGACTTCGCGACTGGTCGACCAGAAACGACTCTCGTGTGGATATTAAACTTTGAAGATCTCGTCACCTCGTTGCCTGCGTCTCGCTTTGTCGCCTGACTCAGCAAGTGTCATTAATAACTTCGAGGAGATAGATAAAGCGCTAAACATCAGGCATATCGTATGCTTGGGCATACATCATTACCCTGACTAACCAGAGATTCGATAAAGACTCACTAATACATTGCTTGTTAATAGCGAGTCGTTTTGAGTGATTACACATTGCGCACACACACACACACACACACACACACACACACACACACACACACACACATACACACACACATACACACACACACAAGGGTGTTCAAAAAACCATTCAGAATTTATATGATAGATAGTACACACCATACTGACAATGAGTATAAAAGGCTTAGTGAACATAAGTCGAAAGCTCAACCATTTTTGAGATATAAACATTTTTATATGTTAGCATTTTATATAAGTTAGGCACAAAAACATAGCGCAACAAAAGCATTTTCATTAGTATGATCATACAAAAAATGCGTATCTGCCATTTATTGAGAACAATATGCCAACATTTTTAGCACGATATCTTATAATTGTGTAATCACATGTAGGGGAGAGTGGGCATAAAAGAGCTTTTTTATAAATATGAAAAAAAATGAAATCTAATATTAATCAAATAAAATCGCTTAGCAACATAAGAGTACTTAATTTATCTATTATAAAATTGATTTATATAATAAATTACAATAAAAAAATATATTTAATTATTAACAGATGTTATGAATCTTTTTTAAAACTAGGGAATTTGGCTCTTTTAATACGACATGGTTTTGAAAAAGCCACCATTAATTTCTTTAAGAGCTTCCTGTATGACAGCAGTAAAAGATCGTTTTCTTGACTTTGGCTTATCTTTGGTATTGTTTAAAGACATTTTAAATCAAATTTGAACAGAATGAAATTCATTAATAATAATTCATTAATAACATTAATATAACCTATAAGTCCTTTATAATGTAAACATACTTAAAAAATTATTCACAATAGGTATACAATAAAGACACTAGAAAAAAATGAAAGAAAATGAAGGTAATGAAAGGGCTGGTTTTTTTGTAGATTACCAATATTTATCGGCTATCGGCTCTTGCATAACGTTATGGGAGCCCCTCCCCCCGCCTATCACATAGCAAATATCTATTGTAGAAACAGAAAATACGTGCTTTAATACTCCTATTTGTTAAGTAAGGCGAAGATTTAATAGATATTCAATTTTCTACCATGCGTAGGGGTCTGTCTAATCTTTTTGGTATCTTTATTTTTAGTATATTGTATACCAGACATTGTATAAGGCGAAAATTTATTAGATATTGAGACATCAAAATTTTACAATGTATTCATTACTATGTATTACTATTCTCCTTGACATACTTTATTTTTGTTGATAACTTTTTAACGAATAACGAGTGACGGTTAAAATCACCTGAAGGTCACTTAGGGTTATGACCTTGACAACATATGTATAGGTCAAGGTCATTGGAGTAGCCTCATTGGTATATTTACCAACGATTGAGCTTTCGACCTATGTTCACTAAAACTTTTTACTCACAATCAGTACGATGTGTACTATCTACCATATAAATGCTGAATGGATTTTTTTAGCATCTAATATATAGGGTTATTATCTGGAAAGTTCTCTGCGGTTTTCACTCATGGGGACAGATTCAAATGGTCATGTACAGTACTTTTTGCAATTTATAATTTCTCTGCCAGTTCTTATACTATATAACAAGAATGTTTGGCGAAGCTTATTTCAGTAAATCATCATCCACAGTGCAGAAACGCCCAGATTGCACCTCGTTTTTGAAAAGTAAATTACTTTGTTAAAATTTCACAAACCATCTCCGAACTGTATCATCAGAAAAAGTACCTTGTCTGTAGACTTTACAAATTTTATGCATTATCTCGCATACGTTCTTGCCATTTTTCAAATAGTAGAGCATAATATTACAAAAATGTTTCTGATTCTCCATCTTTAAAGGTACTATAGAATCGAATACATTGAACATATGCCATTATGAAGGGATGCTTTGTTTAAACAAAAAGCTGTTCTTTCTTATTAATCTGAAGTTTGGGCGCATTCAGTATTAGCGCAAAATTCAAATTGGTATCCGCGCAGATATGAGAAAACTGCAGAACTTTCCAGATGATCCTATATGTTAAGTGAAAATGTTACGCAATGTTGTACTATAAAGAGACGAAAGATCTTTATTTCTTAATTCTTATATAGAGCAGAAAAGATTTAAAAAATATAATAACCAATTTTAAATAATGTCTAATTATTATTTATAAATTTTGATGTTAGACATTTATTTCGTGTTTATTCATCATAATTTAAAAATATCTTTAAAAACTTAATATAATTTTGATAGGTCTAATTTAATTTTCGTACTATTTAATACATTTATTGAAATTTTATATATTATATTAACTGTAATATAAATTTCTCTGTACACAAATTATAAATTTAAATGAAAAAATATATAATCTAATATTTAAAAAAAATAGAAAAAAACCTTAAAATTTTTAAATCTCGGAAGCAAGTCTAGAATAAAGTCATTTATTAGCTATAGAATATTCTATAACCAATATACCCTTTTCGCAAAGAATTGATTTTGATTCGCGATATATTTTTAAAATAATTAATAGATTGAAAGTAATTAGTAAACATGGAAAGATTGAATCAAGTTATTCTAGATAGAGAAAAAATAATCACTTTCTCCTTTTCCACAAAATTAAATTGCATATAAAGTTAATGTTATATAAAGCATATACTTGTACATGCTTTATATGACATTAATGGTAGTATTTAACAGAGCTCAATACATTTTATTCTTTTTCTAAGTATACTGCGTTATCGTTATTCTCATCAGACAAATATTTTGTTATCGTGAAATGTAAACGGAACATTCTAATTTGAAAGAGCATAATCACAAGTGGCACGAGAATCTGTATGTACGCATTAGTTGTGCTTTGACATTTTCATCAGTTAATAATTAATTACACAGGGATAAAATCGCGACTATAAAAGTTGAAATTATCACACGCCAATCGACGGAAGGTCAAATGAATTTTTTATATTGCGTCGCATGTACTGTTGCACTATATACTTTTGCTATTTATTCGGTCCAATAGTATTCAGTAGTTATCACGCTGACACCGGTTGTCACGACGTATTTGCGAGAAGAGAACATTATATCGTTTTCCACTTGCTCTCCAGCATTTGATCCGATTAACTTGTGATATTAAAATTTGTTTATAACAATAAAGTTAAATATGAAAAGAGATAAAATACAAATTCGACATAAAGTATCAGTCGCGAATGCGAAATGTTGGAATATTCTAAAAAGGCAAGCCGCCGAATTTTGTCGCAACACTGGATTACATGGTTATAAATACATTAGTCAAACTCAACGTTCTAAAGCGGAAAGGTATAAACTTTCTAATATGTTATAATTCTGCATGCAATTTTAATGATTAAAATGTACAAAAATACAGATAATTTCTCAATGTTATGGTACAATTTTTCTTTTACCTAATAAACTTTAATATTTATCAGAATAGTGTTCATTATTTGCTGATTACAGTAAGAATATGTATGTTTGTTAATAAATTCTTTCAACTTATTTGAATAGTTTTTTTGAAGCGTGATATTTTAATGTGTATATACATTTTCTTTAGAAGGGAGAAAAGCTATATTTTGATTAATAGAAAATCTGTTTAATTCAAACAATAATCATCTTCACAAGAACATTGTCAGTTAATTACTTTGATGTCATTATTTTAATTATTTCTTCATAATACATTTTGTCTTGTAAAACTTGTTTTAATTTGCATAGACAAATTTGCGATTGATTACATATCGAATTGTGAAATGTGCAGTTAAATGCGATTATTTTCAGACAATTAATATGTAAAATGAAGAAAAATATAAAGAGTTAATATGAATCAAACAACATTTAATTTAAAACTCGAAAACGTTAAATCGATTGAGAATAATCAAGAGACCTGAAATAAATAAATATATATATATATATATACCGTATATATATATATATATATACGAGTCTGTAGATTACTGGAGATCGATATATATATATATATGTATATATATATACACATATACCGGAAGGAATCGATCTCTAAGTAATCTACAGACTCGAATATCAGACTGCACTGTCTCGTTACGCCAGTGCAGTCCCGCGGGATACGTACTTGTAGGACGTACCTCCATACGGAATAACTTTCCAGTTTGTATAGTAGCGCGGTCCTACTTCCCGCGCACCCTATTGATCCCCCTTTATCCTGGAGCTTCTAGTCACGACGTCGCCAAGAGGCACAGCCTCGCAGTCAAGGGGGTGATGTTTAATTCAAGTTCAAGCACAATGCCTCTCAAGAAGAGAGATCTCATCCTCTTTCTCTTTTCCGTTCTTGTATATACGTATATGTATTATATATATGTATACACACACGTACACGTATACACGCTTTCCATATAAATTATTTCGTGGTCCCGCATTCAAAAGCCACCGCCCACCTCGCCGCCGCATCGAGCGGCGGAATGCGCGCCCGAAACGAGCCCGCGAAAAAAATCTGCGCGTCTCTTACACGGTGTCTACTGCCTCGTGAAAAGGAACCGTGTCCCTCCGGCATCCCTGTAAGCGATGAAAAATTGAGGAAGTAGTCCGCCCGCGCATTTCGCACTCGCGCGCGGCGGAGATTCGGAGAGTAGTTACATAAACGAGATCGTTGTCGAGACGTTTGTCTTCCTTTTCGTTGAATTGTTCGAATGAATCGCTTCACTGCAGGTAAAGACAAATAGCTGTGGGTATAGTACTTGACCATAAACGGCAAAGTTGGGACGGAAAGTGATTGCTAACGGCCAAAACGCGCAAGTTTGTTAATGTACCAATGGTACTGATGGTAGTTGATTTACAGGATTTAGTAGACATAAAGCTTTATACTTATCAAACGGCATATCACAATATTCAAACGCTACCAAAAGTTAAAGTTTACTGAGAAATTGTTGTAAAATAGAGAGATAGTGGTCTCAGATAAAAAAATTTTTTGAACAGCGTTTTGATAGTGATCCCTTCCAACCGCAGCGAATATCTTTTGG